ACCTATTTCAGCTAAAATTACTATATTTTCCCAGTAATGCGAGAAAGGAGGTGGTTTTTTCAGAATATATCGAAACTTTCGTAAAGTTTCTGAAAGGTCCGCAAAGTACAGTGCGGTGCAAAATCATAGGACACCCCAAACACATGAATATGTCCGCTTCTAAAAATCGTCATTCATAGCAACCAACGAAATCAGAACCATGTTCATAAAACCTATGTAGCCGCCCCAAGACGGACTTCTTTCCATGCCCCGCCTTTGGCTCCTGCGCCTTTTACCTTCGATTGTCCATAGAGTGTAGTTTTGTAAGTTTGTTTCTCTTCGGAAACCGAATCTTCATGCGTGAAACTTTGTGTGCTGTTTCCAGTGATCACAACTGATACATTCATGTTGAGAAAGAATGCAAGAATTTTCCGCGAAGGATTCCTTTAATTTTTTCGCCAGATTTTTAGCCAATAAGTATAATAGGTTGCTGATGGTCCTAATTATAGATATGACATAAGTTGTTTCACGCTGACGCTATTTTTCGCGAATTTTGAAACGCCAACACAAAATGCAAAAAATTGTCACTGCGAGGATTCGAACCACGGACCACTTCATCACCCCTTTTTTGGTATTCAGAGGGCCGCTCAGGAAAAATGAACTACAGTTCTGTGTTCCATGCATCGTACCCCTATATCATGCAAAAAACCGTTTCGAGAAAGCTGGGCATTTTCTGAAAGACCTTCCCCGTAGGAGATGATCTACAAAGAAGGGCAGCTGGAAAAGGTCGCACATGGGCCAGAAAATGGGCAACAATGGGACGCGCAATGCTTCAAGCGGCCTGCAAAATCTAGCCACTGTGTTAGGTACCAAATCATGTCAGTTTTCTCGAAGCATGAATCATAAATCATAAATCATAAATCATGTGGGAGCGAGCAGAGCAGTTCCAAGCAAAACAAAACAGATCGGATATTTCCAACAAATCCAAAGTTTTCATTTATTTATTCATTTGCCGATTCATTTACTTCAAATAGGCGATTGTCAGCAGGAGCATGGGCAATTCCATATTTTCATTCTTTGTAGAACGCAATGATGTCAGGCAATGATTAGAAAGTTTCGTGCTCTCAAGATGATTTCTTTGCCTCTACCATTTCTCGGTAGATTGACTCCTGCCTCGAAAGAAGATTATCCGTAGTGTCAAATTCGACGACTTCGCCATCCTCCATAACAGCTACTCTAAATGTGAAAAGAGAATAGTTGAAGCTTGAAACGGCTATGAAGCACTAATCCGAAATGCACTGTCCAACTTTATCCTACATTATATTAGGTTGTCTCATAAATAGTGTCGCTTTTTTTCAACCAAAAAATTTTCATCTAAATCCCCATGCTTTTACATCGATTCATATACCATTCGAAAGAGAATTGTCTGCTCTACAAAATATCGTGTTCCTCTTCACAACTCTATGTTCCCTTGGGAGAAATCAATCAATGATGTACCCTCTACTTACTCATGACCTCTTCTGAACATTCCACCCTTAGGTTGCCGAAAAAGGTTTGCCCTGTTTCTTTTCGAATTGGCCGACCGATAAGTCATGGCAATTTTCAAATTGAAATTCTTCCTCTGAAACGCTATTGTTTTATATCAACTGGTATATCTTTTGTGAGCACTTCTTCTGCTCTATTCGCTCATTTGTTTGTTTGATGTTTGTTAGGAATTAGCTCGAATTTTAGGGTTTAGGAGTAAGGTGCTTTGTCCACAAAAGTGACCGCAATTTGTTTTGAAAAAAAAAATTTCGACCTCGATCTCAGGTAATGGTGCTTGACCGTCGAGTTCTGGTTGAAAAACCAGGTCTGGAAATGGAATGACGCGACTTGTTGGGAAACCTAATAGTGTAATGTTTAGAAGAGGTCATGCATAAGTAGAGGGTACATCATTGATTGATTTCTCCCAAGGGAAGATAAAGTTAGAGATAGTTGTCGGTTTGGTCAATTTTTGTCGGCGGGACCTCCCATTTCGCAGGCCTAAAATTTGAAAACCATGGAACATAGATGGAAGAAGAACACAATATCTTGTAGAGCAGACAATTCTCTTTCGAATGGTATGACTCGCTGTAAAAGCATGGGGATTTAGATGAAATTTTTTGGTTGAAAAAAGCGCGACACTATTTATGAGACAACCTAATACATTTTTGAAGGACACGACATTACGAAGCTCGTTAGAAAAACGCGAGAGAGTCATCGGCTATGCCAAGTTGATGGAATCTGTTTGCAACAAAAAATACTTCTGTGTGAACGCTATGTTTCATGGATTAGAATGTTTTTTGTACTGGAAAAACGAGAATGTAAAGCCTTGACGTTTCGGTTACACAAGAGGAAGCGACTGAAGACCGATAGGCATTGACGGCCAAAAGTGAGTCAGTCGAAGAGAGTAGAGCTCCACTTCGTCGAGAGATCGAGATGAGGAACGATGGTAGTTAGTAGTTATGGTGTTTAGAGGGCAGTGACAGCCAGAGAGTGCAAAAATGCGCAGACTTGCCTAAGATCCTGAAAACGATCAGTCCCGAAGAAAATTTATTCTGCTAACACTATGGGAGCATTCTTCGCAGGTCTCTCTAATCCCACAGCACTCGTTAAAACGCGCGGAAAAAGTGCCCATGATTTGAAGGAGAGATTCTAGCTCAGCGTAGAAAAGTAATACATCTAACGGTGCATGGCTCATGAATTGAACTATTTTCCTTTGTACTGTCACATTCTCCGATGGCTTCCAAATTGTGCGCTATGGTAATCGTGGTAGCATGCCGAAAATGTTCTCGAACCACCTAAAATAATAACGAAAACTGCAATAATAAGAGCCCAAATCGTATTTTTCAGAGCTCATCTGGAGTTTCATCCTCACCGTGTCCACGAGCGCCTGTGCAGCGTGATCGAGTGATGCGGTAGCTTCATCAAGAATAAGTATTGCTCCGCCTCTAGAAGCGCCGTGCACAGCAACAGCAGCTGTCGTTCGCCTGCAATATGCAAAGCAGAACAGAAAAGTGGAACAATTATTTGTTTTCTCACCTTCATATTCTTGCCCCCTTCTTCGATCACTGCCATCAAACCGTGGTCACGTTTGGAAACCATCTCCTTCAGTTGACACGCCTCCAAAGCTAGCCATATATCGCTGTCGGCGAATCGATAGAAAGGATCAACATTGAAGCGCAATGTGGAGGAAACAAAACAGGATCCTAAATTCTAGTAAAGATACGTTTAAATTCAATTCATAATCATTCACTGAAATTTGTAGCAATCGCTATGGATGTTAGTTATTTTCACGCACGGCAGCGAAAAACGGTTTGCGTGAGTTTTTTTTTCAAGGAATGTAAGATGAGAACGGATAAGGAAGGGTGAACAGTGTGAGCAAAAAAGTGTGGTGTTTATTTCCTTTGAGAGCTTAGTTGCCGTTTCTTACATAACCTCCGAGTTAAACACAAGTCGTCCATGACCACTTTTTCCACACGAGAGGCCAACTCACAGGCAAAAAACTCAGAGGACTTTACCAATGGAGGGATTGGCCCATAGTTAGCGGCATTCATAGGATCGCCCCATAGAGGAGAATTGTTTTGTTTTCACGAAGCACGGGTGCACTGCGTCACGGTTCGACATTTTGCGGGATTTATTGCGACCACACCTCTCTCGAGAGGGACAGTTGCGACCCTCCAACCACACAGGGGTTGCGCCCCAAGAGTCCACACCCCCAATACAACCAGCCTTCCTCCACCGCGACCTCTCCCTCTTCTATAGTATTTGATTCTGAGACCAGTTGACACAGCCCAAAGACGCAGCCCAAAACCTACAAAACTCCGAAACTCCACCCACTTTTCCCCCCAAAAACAGCCGTCTACCGGGGGGGGGGGGGGGGGGGGTATATACAACCAGTGAAACGGCAACTTTTTTCGCACACACCTATGCCTAATCACCAAGGACGCGCAATGCGACCAATGCGACCCCCTCCCTTCCCAGACACACAAATGCGACCCCCCCCGTTCGAACTGTTCGAACGGACGGTTGACCCTGTCACGAAGCCTTCAGGGAATGTTTTGAGCTCTACGTGCTGGCTTAGTTCTCCGGCGAGGTCTCTCGCGCAGAATGGCACTAGATACTTCGTTTACATTTGCTGTTGAGAGCATAAGTCTCCGATGTTGACGGTGGAAATGGATGTTCTTGCACAATCGTTACTGTCGGCTAGCTTCGACGGCCCAGTCATCGTCGGCAGAAACTAGGGAGGGTAAACAATGGAATGGTATTTTTTCCGTTCTTGTGTTACTCTAGTCCTTCTGATGTGTCGCAAAATGAAATATGGAACAATTCGAGCGTTTTGGCACAACTCAATTGCTACAATATATCTGCTCAATCTTTTGGGTAAGAACTAGCGGGAACCGTCACAAAAGAGTGAGCACAACCTATTTATCTGACAAAGTGTCGTCAAGGAGAAACGCCAATATCAAGACACCAGTTTGGTTGCGCACACATTCGCGTGCAACAAATGGGATTGTACTGGTGTAAAACGTGGGGATCAGCATGAAAAATTTCACAGTGCATATTTGAAGTTTCTAGTGATCACATCTTTATCAGCAGGTTCCATAGTATCCATAAGCACGGTGGTCCGGGGCCAGCGCCATGTTGGCCACCAATTTTGATATAATTTACGGACAGGTATAACTGACGGTCCAGCATGGAAATGACACCCGTTTTTCGGCGCCGCGCCATTTGGCGCCACGCTGGCGCCACGGTTTCTTTTGCCTTCAACTTCGCTCCAAACTTACGGACGGGGGTAACTTACGTTCCTGAGCATGGAAATGCATCCGTTGCCATTTGACGCCAAGTTGGTGCCACCTGGCACAAGTGCCAGGAAATGGATGCTATTAGGTCGGTCCATAATTTTTGAGACACTTTACATGCATTGTTGTAAAAATCTTTGATAAGTATTGAAGCTTTCCAAGATGTCCTGCAACCCAGCACACAAGCTCGCCTATCCGACAGGCTCTCGTTTGCTTGTTGCTTTCTTTAGCTAGGATTCCAATTTCTTCGAAACCTATTTCTGAGCCTCTTTCTTCATGACTACCGATTAGGATCTTCCACGCGCCAAGCTGAATGGAGGATTAACCAGATGATAGTTGAGGGCACGCTCTCTCAATCCACAGTTACCTCTACTCAGGGTTCCCTCCTTTTATTTGAAGAAAATCGACACTCCAACCACCCCGTGACTAGCAATCTCGATGCTCTATTCGGCGCCATTGGAAAGGAATCTGAACAAAGTGGGCGCTATTTGTCAGAGCGCTTTTGGTGTTACAAGGTGAGAGTACTGAGACATCTCGATAAAGTCGCTAAGGTTAAAATATACAGAGTTTAGTTTCTCCACATTCTCTGCCCGAATCAGCCCTAAAGCCCCGATCTGACATCATCATTTTCCTATTCGTTTCCCGTAGTTCCTTTGAATGACCATTGAGAAGTTAACCACGGTGGCGATGGGAGTGCAGCTGTGCTGAAACAAATCCGTCACGCAGTAGCTCAGCTCAAATGAAAAAAGGGAGTTCTGACAACAAAAACCCAACTCCCTCTGAATTCGAACTTCCTGTGTCGTCGGCGGAACACGAGAAGGGCTTTGCGCTGGGAACCGGCACAACTTATACTCGTCTCAGTGGTGAAGATAGTAGTAGACAGCTTGATGGCGACCGAAATGAGACAAGGCACTGAAAATTCATGAAAATTTGGAAATTCTCGGGCAGTCAATTTTTTAGCTCTGCCTTGTAGCACTAACCTTGCGCCAACAAATAATCTCCGCTCTTCTCCCTAAATCACCCACTGGGGAAAAAAGTCACACCTCTCACTTTGACCTTCATGATGTGAGAATATACATCCCAATTTTTCTTTGATACAGAACTCCTATTGTCTAAGGAGAGATATTGAATATGTACACTCACATTGGCGATATGTTGGGAATAATGGTTATGTTCACTATGTGTAATAAATACACCAGAGAAATAAAATAAGTAATTGAATCGAAACTACCTAAGGTGTCTCAAAATTATGGACCGGCCTAATACATTTGTGTTCAGGAATGATTAGCACTGTTCGCAAGTTTACAGCGAAAGTGAAGGCGAAAGAAGCGATGGCGCCTGTTGGCACCAGTTGCCTCAACGCCAACAATGGATGTCATATTCCCGTTCAGCACCGTCCACTTCCCACCTTGGTAAGTTTCTGCACTCCCATAAACTTAACTACCCTGGTTATGTTAGTTCAAGCCCGTTCTGTAGCAATGCGCCTCCACCAGTCGACTCCGCAACCTCGACTGGAACTGCAACTATAATACAAAAATGTAAGAAAACTAAGGTCAACAAGTAGAGATTAGAAACCAATCCAAGTCGAAAATTGCAATAACAGCTACGGATTACTGCACAATCTACAACTGATCCACTACTGAGCCTCCCCAGCATTCAGATCGAAGCCAAGAAGTTTCAATGTAAATAGAAAGTAGAGAAAGCTGGATTTAGCAATAGTCATTCAAATCAGTTCAATGGATATTGTACTTGTAGAGTTGGTCACTTTTTCTACTCCGATTTCAAGGAATGAAACACCAGTGAGAGGAAAAACAGTTTCAGGTTCGTGAAGCCATTTTAATCCTTGAGAAATGTTAGTTCATTGCTCTATCAACATAACAGCATCCTGCATCAAACCTGGCGGAAATAAGGTTATCCCCTAGATCTGAGCTCGAAAAGGCTCACATAATCCCAGATTTGTACTCCAATCGATGAACACATAATCCCCCAACATCCCCACTCGATTTTTTCAGCTCAAACGATATCTACATCCTCTTGAGCAATGACTCTGCTAAACATTGTTCTTTTCGCATCACACATAATTCTATGTGGTGAAACTCATAGGGCTTTACCTGAACCGGTTCGACCCACTATTGCAACTTTCTCTCCTCCCCTTATTGAAAGTGTTACGTTTTTCACTGCGAACTTTTCGCCGTAACGTATGCTGAAGTTGTGAATTTCTATAGCACCGCTGTGTGGCCAAGAGTCGAGCAATGGTAATCCAGTCGGCCGCCCTCTCTGAAACAAAGCGAAAGTTACCAAACACATTATATTGCGTATCAAAATTATGTAGGCACTTTTGATTGACTGAAATCGACTGAAAGATGTTAACTGCAGCCGTGAAACCTCCACCAAATCAAGTCCTTATGGTCGGTAACCTACTATATTTCCTGGCGAATGATTTCGTATCAGTTTCTGCTCTCCCTATAGAACTCTCCCCTCCCTATATCCAAAGATGTGGAAGCCCCTGAGGTAGATCAATTGTTTGCATCCCACTTTTTTCAAACTTCCCTTCCAGACTTTCTGCATCGCCCGCCCTCTCACGGCAGCCTTTACAGGGTGCGCCAAAATTACGGAGACAGCGATTTCGAGTCGCCTAGAATGAACACGCCACAATTCCAGGAAAGCCAAAAATGCAGTAACGTTCACTGTTCAATAATGAATCGTAAACATCTGCCAAATCTCAGAAATTCCTTCGTTGGCACTTATACGGGCCTTGAGAAGCAGTGAGGAACCATCGGCGGTGGCACGCAAGGTAGTGCTTCAGATGCGTAGAATCCGTTCTACGTATTCTGAAGCAATTCTTCAAAATAATCCCAAAAATGTAAAGTTCCGTGCAAGCTTCAGCTTGCAGAATCAATTCTACAGTGTAAGCCATTTATATAGAATCTGAAATGCTGACCAACTCGTTAAAAGTGATGAATTCGACAAAATTTGCTCTGACCCAGTTCAGCACCACCCTTGCCCTATGGAAATCCCTTCCTTATGAAAGATCAAACAATGTTTTTTAAATCTTAAGATGGCAATTTGCTTGGGAATTCTCAAGTAATCTCCTTAATGTCCATCTCTCGTGACATTCGGCGGAACGAGTGCGCGAAGTGCCACCAAATTCTGTTGCGCACCATGCTGACATTGCTCGTGGCCGTCTCGGAAACACAGCCTTCCCATCCAGAATGAGTGCATTCGGTTCCTTACTCCTTGGAGCGTTTAGTGGATCCATGATTGGTACCCAGGTAAAAACCAAAACGCTGATAATTCTTGCGTGCCGCAAACACTCAAAGTTGAAGTTCAGTGATCTAGAAATAGCGGCAGAATCATTCAGCCATCGTAACAATCATACATATTGGTGGTCAAAAGATAATTATGAACAGGTCAACACAACTAAACCAAAATGAGCGCAGCAGTAAACAGCATCTTTGAATAGTGGTCCCAATAGTGCGCGGAAGTGCTGTCTCCGTAATTTTGGCGCACCCTGTATTACTACAGAACAACAGGCATCACATCGCGGCTAGGCCGTCCATGAACTCAAACTGTCATCGTACCTCATATGTTGACGGAAATAAATCAACAAGTCCTGATCTTCACCACTCGACATCTGAAGTGTTGATCATCCTCGTCTCTCTTTCTATCATTCAAGTTCTAATGCAGTCACATTGTTGTGCCCATTCTCCTTGACCTGTCCCAGGCCACATGATTTATTCACCAGTAACCCAACATGGGACGTTAAATCTGTTGAAGCAGCCATTTTGTCAAAATAAAAAGATCAGGATAAAAGCAACTCTGTAGTAATTTCTTCTCAGACACCCTCGACTGGCGGGAGAAATTTTGCCTTTGTCCACTTGCATGCTCCTCGTTGCTACGAAGATCTCGTAAAGCCGCGCCTATGTACTTCGTATAGACATTCGGACAAGTTCTCCCTGCGGATAGATGGGTGGTTTTACAAGAGAGAAATTTGGAGCCAGCTTGCCAAATGCATCTTCGCCTAGATTGTAATGGGATATTGAACTCCCGACTAAAAACCTTTCGAACCAGTCAGTTCGCGAACACGTTCGGCGCCAAAACCCCCACATGACGGCCATCGACCGGTGCTACATTCGAGCCCACTGCAAAAGGAAACTGTGTCCCATAACTAGCGTTTCCTCAACATGAAATCGTTACCGACAAATGCAAGTGGTATTTGCGGCCGCGCCACCCCTTGGCGCTTCTAGACGAAGAGTGCCACAACAAGTGACCTAACATGTTGGCTGGTTGGAAACAGTTTGGTACCAGGAGTTTAGTCCAGAAAACGTCACAGTCGAATCCTGGCATGTATCAGCTTGTCAGGTCCTTACACGGTTTGTGATTACGAGTATACCTTTGTTTGTATTTTTTGAAGGTGCCACATACATTGTACGAAGGAAGTAAGGTCTCCGTTAGCCATGTGGTGTCGGGTTGAAGTCTGTGATAATGCAGTACCAGAAATCATGAGGCGGCAGACTCCCCACTCCGGTGAAGTCCTCATCTTACCTGTCTAGAGCTCGTTGCTGGCGCTTTGCTGCATGCCCCCACTGCTCCTCCTAATAGGCTGTGCAATTCTCCGACCGCCTTCACCTTCTTAGTCAGCCAATCCACCCGAGCAATCCACCCATCCGTGAAAATCATATTGCTACTTGTTACTTCCCATGATCAAGGCACGGTCAGTGCTCTGGAAGACTGGAAGTTTACTGCAGCTTGACAGTTACTTGCACACGGTTTGTCACCGAAAAGCTTTTAGATACGATCAATATCTACTGTCTGTAGGTGTACGAGACGTGGTTAGTCTCCGACTCTATAGTTACCTTAGCAACGGCTTCCGCTCCTTTCCAACGGATCCTCCTCTAATACCGTTTTTCCTTGGCTCTCCCTAGCTGAGGGCCCCAAAATAGGGATATCGAACTAGACATTTGATGAAGTCATTATTCGAATGATTGGCATGCATCCTATATATACGAGTACTAACGGTGTTCATGCTGCTAATATTACAAGCATTTCGTGGTCACTGCAATACGATCTACTGGTAACAACGCAATCGCAATTCGATGAGAACTATGGCAGGAGTGTGAAGTAATCGGCACATCGAAAGCGCAGTGTCGATCATTTGGATTGCGCTGAGGCAATTGAGCACCTATCATGGGCCAACCGGGTCAAACGCAACAGCGAATCGCAATGACAGGCTGACAAAAAATGCTGTACCTAAGTTAGACACGATACAGCATTTTTAATCGTAAATACCTCACAAAGTAGATTCATTGAAACTAACTTCGCTTTCAATGTCGTGATATTCCTTGATACGTCCACGGCAACACTGTTTGCATCACTTAGCGCGCCCCCATCATTCTAAGAAAAATTAATCATTGTCCTTCCGCTGACAAGCTCTTCAAGTAATCGCAGATGCAAGTACATTTCCTGACTTACGCTCAGGCATAGGAAACACAGAGACCAATTTCGCCACTAGTTATGAGAGACATCTCGTGAAAAAGTGACACCAGCACAGAACACGCTAGCACCTAAACAACATTGCTACAAACATCAGAGAATCCCAGTATCCAGTGACAAATTTTTTGTTATAAACTCAAATCTCATTCCACTACATCGGGCGTTTCTTCTCAAACACATTTCACAGTCCTCTCTTTTTATCCATCTTTGCTTGTTGGAAGCATCCGTAGAAAATCGAAAGAAAAAACGCTGCTCAAAATAATGGCTCCATTTCCCCAGTGTCTGGCTCTATCTTCTAAAGTAAAGTGTCACGACTGAGCGCTCCATTGTAATATTTCCTCGAGCAAACAGTCCAGACTATCAGATTCATCAGACTATGTGTTCGCAAGTCTATACCATTGACTAAGAATAACTCTAGAAACTCGTCATATTCTATTTTGTGTTTTAGTTCAGCTACCCCCACTAGTTCAGACAACGTCACCGCCCCTCTCCCCCCGGCCCCCCATGAACTTTAGGAGAAGCCACACGCTCTTTAATATCGGCTACTGCCTGCCTAGAGCATGATTTATCGAACCCTACTGAATAAATGAATCAGGCTGTCTATTCTTCTATCCCATCACCCAGGGTTTTGTACAACAGGAACCCTATGATGACCTTTGACCGTCTTCGGACCAACTCGTCGTTATCAAAAGCCTGAAGCGTTTCGCACATTCAACAACGTTACCTTTGGCTCTTTTCCCCGCTCACACATGGATCCGAATTTGACCTGTCGCTACCCCAGCTATGAACCAAGGAGTGCAAATTCCAGGAATGAGTCACTTACCTCAACTCCATCAGCGCCACCGCTTCTGGATCAACAGCTTCCATTGATGCCCTCCAGAGACGGGTGGACACTACCATGAGCAACCAGTTATGTGGCAGCTGCTTACAAAGAGTGTACGTGGATTGCGTGACGTTCTCTTTATAGTTGACAACAGAGAGGGATGTAGGGTAAGTAATCGGCACTCATTAAGATGGATTCGTTTCTGTTATCCAAGATCCGCTGCTTCTATCTAAAAAGTTTTCGAGATTTTCGCACCAAATCCGTTACACGTCAGCCAATTTTTGCTACCACTTAGTTCTAAATCACAACAGCACATGATTTTTCCTTTTGTGCTTACTAAGCGGTGCAACCAAGCTGTCTCTTATTTTGCTAGCCAGATGTTCTCTCACTCGTACTCCTAACTGTCTGCCAGTTTCTCCAATGTACAAAGCATCACATGTCAAACACTGAAGCTGGTAAACCACAGAACGTTGTGCAGTCTCCAACTTTCCATACGGGCAGATCACGCAGTTTTCCATGATACAGATTCGATCATAGAGACGATTTCTGACCAACTGGTGTTTGATGTTGTCTCTTGGTGTGTTGATCAAGAAGACATCATTGGCCAAATCTGCTCTTCTTAGGCATTGTTGTATAACTGCGGTAAAGCGATCCGATATAAACGGAAGCTGAAGATATAGTTTATTCTCGCTCCGTATGGAAAAGGACTCGGTCTGCTTCGTCTATGCCGCTTCGCTGTGTAACCATTAGATTAGCAATTTGACAAGCTAATCTTCTGGACTCTTCTCGCTCCTCGTCACCGGTGCACACCTCCACAGCCGTTTTGTACATGTTACGCAATACTGCAAACTGCTCTGGGGTGTGCCGACAGTGCGTGAATAATGATATTTTTGGAGCTTTCTTTTATACCATTTCACACTGTATGTTCCATTGGAACCTCTAATCTGAGTGTTCAGATAGGGTAGCCAACCTTCTTGCGGGACTTCTCGAGTTAGCTTGATGTACTGCTACTGCGATTGACTGTTAAGAATATTGAACAACTCATCCATTTCGGCTTGAGTTGATGTGATGACAAAACAGTCGTCGATATAGCGGCAGTACATGATTGGCAACGTTCTAGCACTGGGCGTTCAATTCTACTCATGAAACAGACAGCGAGTACCGGTGCTAGCCGCTGCCCCATTGCAAGCCCTCTGATTTGCGAGAAATATCTTCCGGACCACTTGAATATATTGCAGTTCAAACACTCCCTGATCTCCCCGTCCCCATTCTTCGCTGGTGCTCGTCGAGCATTTCCGAAACTGCTTGCAAAGCTTCGTTGTTGCTGACGTTATGTATAGAGTGCAGACACGTCAAATGATTCTACAACACAGTCGTGTTGAAGCTGCAGGAATTGTATTAGGTGTTTCAGAAAGTTCTGTCGTTTTCTGACACTCCACTTTTGGATGCTTTATTTCCCTTGAAATCTAGGAAAGCTGCAATTGATGTTGATATCATTTTGAAGAGCTTTTCCAGCTCTATCCAATGCTCAGC